TAATATTTGTTATTTTTTTTTATCTATATACATGTTTGTCTTTAAACTAAGTCTTAGAATTATCTAAGGAAATAACTTGAAAGATGTCGCTTTGAAAGAACGAAAAAGGCAGGCAAATTTCAGTAAAAGTGCTAGTAGACTACCGAGCATGGATACAAAAACAGGCATTAAATATAAAGCATTTTCAAATTGAAAACTTGAAGAAAAAAACATTTCATGTAATACATGTTATATGTTGCTGCTAATTTTTTAGCTTTAGTAGCAAAACCCACAGAAGAAGACAAGACGGGGGAACCAGTTGAAGTGGAAGAGAACCAGTCAGTGGAGGACCAGTTAACAGCAACTGATAAAAGGTGTGTCCTCATTTTTAACAAAAATTACAGACTGCTGTTTTAATTAGTGATTTTGCAGTGTGCACCTCCAAATATTTCATATTTGTACTGTATATACATTTTTGTAAACTTGTCTAGAATGTTTAAAAAAAAAAACAAGGCAAGTCATCAACACAGAGAATTTTTTTTTTAGGCAAAACTTAAAAAGGAAGACATACAATTAAATTGCAAGATTTGTGCAACACTATAGATATTTGCATCCATAGATGGGGCTGATGGAAATTTGTAAATGACAGTATGTATTATATAATTCTAGAGCAACCCCAAAGAAAGAGAAATCACCAACAGGAGGGCCCCGTACCCCCAAACCGGAGGACTTCGGACTGAGTAGTCTAACACTGAGTGCTTGTAAACGACCGGAAAAAACACAGGTGTTAAACTCTCACAGGTAAGGGAGCTACAAGACAATCTGACAAAAGATAAATCCTATATTCAACAAAATTAAGAGATGATAAGAATTGATCTTGCAGAAAAACACCCAAAAAAGATTCTGTGCCTCCTGCTGAAGCCCCCCAAGAAGAACCCCTCCCTGGGCCCCGCACCCCTAAACCAGAGGATTTCGGACTGAGCAGCCTCGTGCTGAGTGCCTGTAAACATCAAGACAGAACGCAGGTGTTCAGTTACCCAGACACAACCTCTCACAGGTAATAAGGCAGTTACCTTCCTTATACACTTCCCTTACCTTTCATAGGGTAGCTGCAGAACTTAGCGTTATGGTTTTATATTGTAGTCTTTGACCATAACCATGATAACTCTACAGATCCCTTTATGTATTCCAAATTATGTGCAATTTTTAATGCAAGAGTTTCTGCGAACCATAAGGGACTTATTTTTAGGTCACACTCAGGTGACCTATTGCTATCTGTTTTTGTCCGTCGTCGTCTGTCGTGCGGTTTGCGTCGTGCGTTAACATTTGAACATTTTCAGCTTCTTCTCTAAAACCACTGAACCAATTTCAACCAAATTTGGCATATAGCATCTATGGGTAAAGGGGAACAAATATTGTGAATTTAATGGTCTCTGCCCCTCTGGGGCCTGGGGGGTGGGGCAAAAACCACTAAAATTAGTGCAATCTTTAAAAATCTTCTTCTTTACTCCTGGACTTCAAGCAGTCAAACTGTTAGTATGATTGTAATCAGCATTGAGTCCTCTACCAAAATTGTGAAATTCATGGCCCCAGGGTCAAGGGTTCTAGTACTAGGGTGGGGTTAAATAGGTTATATAGTGAAAATGCATTATTTTTTTGAAATACTTCTTTTCTTCTTTTCGTTTATATAAACTAACCAAGTGCATAGTTGAGTTAGAAATGACTGCCTCTTCCAAAATTGTGAATTTCATGGCCCCAGGGCAATGGGTTTTATCATGTTTATTGCTAGGGAGGGGCTATATAGATTATATAGTGAAAATGCAAAAATTCCTCGAACGTCCTCTTTTCTGTTTGTGGGCATTAAATAAACTAACAAAGTGCATAGCTATGTTGAATAAGACTGCCTCTTCTAAAATTGTGAATCTAATGGCCCTAGGGTCAGGGGTTCTAGTGGCAGGGTGGGGCTATATAGATTATATAGTGAAAATGCCAAAATTCTTTGAAATTCTTCTACTCTGTTCGTGGGGATTAAATAAATTCACTAAGTGCATAGCTATGTTGAATAAGACTGCCTCTTCCAAAATTGTGAATTTCATGGCCCCATGGTCAGGGGCTCTAGTGCTAGGGTGGGGCTATATAGATTATATAGTAAAATGATTTATTTCTTTGAAAATCTTCTTCTTTGCCCCTGAGTATTAAATAAACTAACCAAGTACGTAGTTATGTTGAATAAGGCTGCCTCTTCCAAATTTGTGAATTCAATGACCCCTGGGTTAGGGGTTCTGGTGTTAGGGTGGGGCTTTATTGATTATATAGTGAAAATGCATAAATTCTCTAGTAATCTTTTTTTCTACACCTGGGTACTTAACCAATGAACTATGTACATAGTTATGAGAAGGAAGGATGCCTCTTTGAGATTTGTGAATTTCAGAGCCCCTGGGTCAGGGCTTCTTGTGTTAGGGTGAGGCTCTAATGTTTATTTAGTGAAAATACATGAATTCTTTGAAAATGTTTTCCTTTTTTCTTGGGTATTATGCCAATGATCTTAGTATATATTTATGACGAAGAAGGCTGCTTCTTTCAAAAATGGTTATTTTACTGGCCCCTGGGACAGAGGTGCTTGGTGGAGGGGGGTACATAATATGAAACTTTGGTATTAATCAACAACATTATGAAATAAAACTTAAATGGTGCCTCATTTAAAATTGTGTCAGAATTCCATGGCCTCTGGTTTAAAACATGAATCAAATTTAATTTGTTGGAAAGTTGTTGCATGATACTCAGGTGACCTATAAGGCCCATGGGCCTCTTGTTCCATTTTCAAGCAGAGTTCAATCAACTACATTTTATTCCTAAATTCTTGATGTATTTTTTATGGAATCCGGATAGGGCCACGCAGTTCACTATCGCGTCATCGCTCCATCGAGATTTGAGTTGATGACGGGATAATGCAATGACGATGAAGCTATGGTGCAATAACGATGAAGCAATGGCGCGATAGCGCGATAACGATGAAGCGATGGCGCGATGACGATGAAGTGATAATGCGATGACGGGATGGCACGGGATAGCTATGATGCGTTGGTGCGATAGCGATAATGCGATGGCGCGATAGTGATGATCCGATGCTATATTGGGTCATCATTAATGCTTTATCGCGCTATCGACATCGTGTCATCGCTCTATCGACTATATAGATAGGATGGCATTCCCCAGCAGTCATTGCATAACATGGCGTTTGTTGATGAAAAGATTCAAGAATATTTCTTTAACGGATATGATAAAGAAATCATATTTCTTCTTTGGTTTTACACAGAAAAGCTTCCATGTGTATTGTCATTAGTAGTTAAAATTCGAGCATTTGATTGCCCAGTGATAATAAACTGACTTTAATTTTGTATTTGATAATTATATTTTAAATAACAAACACGAAGTACATGTACCAAGAGGAGAGAGGGAGGAAGACTTTTGTCTTGTGTTTGCTTTTAATTTTCTTGATTGTGAATACTGTATTTAACGGTGCTTAAATTTCACGATTTCTCAGAAGTACAATAGCGATGCTTTTAATTTCACCAGGGATCTATATACTAGTATACAGGTCCTTGATTTCACGACGCAAGAAATTAATTTAAATTTCGTATAAGTATTTACTCGTTTTTAATAGTTAATGATAACATTCACGATGGGTTTAATTTTGCAGAAAAAAGATGAATCGCGAACAAAGTGAAACTAAAACCATCGTAATTATTTTCCAATCTACAGTATTAACACACACCCCCCGGTTTATAAACCAAAATCTAGATCACGTGGATTTCGATATCTTTTACATCAGTCACAAGATGAGTGTATTGTTAAACTTATCCTGATTATCAAACTATAATTTAACAATTCTAACTAGTTATATGTCTGACAAGAAAGACATGGTTAATTTTAATGCCCAAGTGAAGTTTATTAATACAGTAAGATCTATTTCTGATATATATTCTGTTCATATCTTCACTACCTGACGCCATTTCTATTCTCAATGACGCATGCGCAAAAGAGTCGATAGCGCGATAGTGCGATAATGCGATGACGATAGTGCAATAGAGCACTGATGATGACACGATAAAGCATCGCTTCATCGTTATCGCATTATCGTATCATCGCTATCGCACCAACGCATCATCGCTATCATGTCATCGCATTATCGTTTCATCGCACCATCGCTTCATCTCATCGCAGTATCGCACCATCGCATCATCGTCATCGCGCTATCGCCCCATAGCTTCATTGTTTTCGCGCCATCGCTTCATCGTCATCGCATCATCGCACTATCGACTCAAATCTCGATGGTGCGATGATGTGAAAGTGAACTGCGTGGCCCTATCCGGATTCCATAATTTTGTGAACAACCTTTATATTTTGTCCACCTCAAAACCCTTAGTAATTGTATCTACAGACATTTTTAGCTAGATATCTTAACATGCTTAAGTAAGGCAACATGGCATTTACATGACAAAAAATTTAAAACAAGTGAATTTATTGGTCTGAAGTGAAGATGTAAAGGGTCAGGAAGTGGATAAAATGTACAGGTAGGCAGAAAAGTATGTTTAAAATTAAGGCATGAAAGGTTGTTGATTGACCATTGTTGGAAAATGGAGAAATACATTCCAAACCATGCACAGAAAATCTTGTGCTGTAAATTGCACATTATTTGCATAACAGGATCTGTAGCATTATGGTCAAAGACAAAAATATAAATAAAACCAAAAGGCTACAGTTCTGAAGCTATTGACAGGGTAATATAAACAAAACTAAATGTAACCTCTGAAAAGTAACAGCAGAAAAATTACATGGCTATTGTCATGATTGTATACATGCATTAAAAAAACAAACAAACAACCTGTCACATATAAACAGGTGCTATTCAACCATCAGTTACCTGTCAAAGGTAAACAGGTTATCTTTTTGTTAGGAGTAAGTTGGACTTGGTCCTGGACATTCCTCCATTGCTCTCCTCATCATAATGTGTGATCTTTTTGTTAGGAGTAAGTTGGACTCGGTCCCGGACATCTTTCAACATGATGGCATCCAAGTAACACCAAGTTTTCTTGGAGGAAAGCATGCCAGCCCAGGATGGAAACAAGGTGAGAGATGGATATCAGATATTGACTTCTTAAGTTCTTTTCATTGGTTCATCATCAATAGAATTTGGGCAATAGTCTGTACAATGACATTGGAACAAATTTAGTAGTACATTGCTATATTACTAGGGTAAATTAAGAAAAGATGTCAATATATGTTTTTTGTCCTCTACTGTATTACATGTATCTTTACTTTCAGATTTTACAGATAAAAAGTTTCTGGTCCCAAAAGTCAAGGACGGAGCACTGAGGATGGTAAATTATATTGAGAATCTATTGTCTGTCCTTGTCATAGAAATCTATTTTGAATTATTGAAAAAGGGAGATTACTGTGATGGTCCCTTAGATTATCTCAAAGAAGCCTTGTCTTAATCTTTGATTTAATCTTGTTTGTTAATCTTGATAATGCCCTAAATGTAGCTTTCTGAACCAGTTTAATAAGGAATGTGATGTCCACTGGTGCATGTAGGGCCAGTCATTACATTTCTAATTTCAAGGGCCCAAGCAAAAAGCCAAAATGGAGTGGAATTTTCTGCCTTCAGTCGTAATGATTTTCAATGTTCTGTTTTTAGAGGGGGAAGGAGAATTTTGACCAGAGTTCAAGCCCAGCCCCTCGATTTGGTTCAGTGAATATGAAAATTGGAAAGGTAGGACATCTCTGAAGATTCCATCTTTTAGATGCATTTTTATACCCCCCGCAAACAAAGTTTGGGGGGGTACATAGGAATCACCTTGTCCGTCTGTCTAGCTGTCCATCTGTCTGTGCAAACGTCCATATCTTTCTTACGGAGGGACATTAGAATCTACTACTCCACACAAAGATTGCCCATGACCTAAGGGTGTGTCATGACCTTGACTCAAGGTCATTTGGGGAAGTTCAAGGTCACTGGAAGAAAACGTTCATAATTCGTGTCAGGTCCATATCTTTCTTATGGATAAACTTGGTAGGTTCTCATTTCACACAAAGATTGCCCATGACTCAAGGTGTGTCATGACCTTGACCCAAGGTCATTTGTAGAAGTTCAACGTCACTGGAAGAAAAATTTCAAATTTGTGTCCGTTCTACATCTTTTTTATGGATAAACTTGGTAGGTTCTCATTTCACACAAAGATTACCCATGACCCACGGGTGTGTCATGACCTTGACCCAAGGTCATTTGGGAAAGTTCAAGGTCACTGGAAGAAAAAGTTCATAATTTATGTTTGGTCCATATCTTTCTTATGGATAAACTTGGTAGGTTCTCATTTCACGCAAAGATTGCCCATGACCTAAGGGTGTGTCATGACCTTGACCCAAGGTCATTTGGGGAAGTTCAAGGTCACTGGAAGTAAAATTCATAATTTGTGTCCGGTCCATATCTTTCTTATGGATAAACTTGGTAGGTTCTTATTCTACACAAAGATTGCCCATGACCCAAGGGTTTGTCGTGACCTTGACCCAAGGTCATTAAGAGAAATTCAAGGTCACTGAAAGAAAAAGTTCTTAATTCATGTCCGGTCCATATCTTTCTTATTGATAAACTTGGTAGGTTCTCGTTTCACACAAAGATTGCCCATGACCCAGGGGTGTGTCATGACCTTGACCCAAGATCATTTGAGGAATTTCAAGGTCACTGAAAGAAAAATTTCATAATTCATTTGTGATACATATCTTTATTATGGAAAAACTTACTTCTGAAAAACCCAGCTGGGGGTATTTTGTCCCATTTCGACAGTTCTAGTTTAATTTGATTTATTTATTAGCAAATTAATTAAAGCTGTTTGAATTTTATTTCAGTTTTGATTATACTTGGACATCTCAATCAAATTCTTTTTTCATTTGTTAGATTGGCTTCAAATTGAAGATTAAGATTAACCTTAATTTGAATGTAGATCATTTTTTTAACAAAGGTCAAGGTTAAACAATCCAATAAGCTACTATTTTTAGGAGTTGAGTGATATAACTGGAATACACAGACTTCCCAACACCCCAGAACTTACCATACCCAGGAATTATTCAGCGTTCCGCCCCCCACCTGACACCCCTGAAATGATGTCCACCAAGACAGAGCTGAGAAGTCGCCCTCTACCGGATACCCCAGAACTGGCCTCATCTAAAACACTGATGAACTGCAGACCTCCACCGGACACCCCAGAACTGGCCTCAACCAAGACATCTTATCACACCCCTGAGACTCCAGTCTTTCTCAAACAGTACAAGGTGGGCTGCATTTTTAAAAAAAAACCAATTGATTTTAAAATCTATTTAGGTTAATTGAATTTCTTACATGTATAAATATTTTAAGATGAAAGTGATGGAGGTTTATATGTGCATTTTATATTACCAGTAGACTCATTGTACATTATAATTTTATTTATTTTTTTTGATACTGAAGGCAACAGAGGGTAGTTATACTAGTGCTGTGTGGAAACCTCCCATAATGCCTCAGGAACCACAAAATAAGGGTCGCACAGAAGCTTTGAAAGAAATGCCACAGATGCCCAAACTAAAGGGACTATACAGCTATCTCTCCGATGTTAACTGATGAATATGGCTTTATTTTGTGTATTTATAACTGATTTATTTGGAAGTAATTATATCCCTGGTTCAAAGAAAGGGGGGGGGTGTACTGTTTTACCCTTGTGTGTCTTTCTGTTCGTAACAATTTTTTTGGTCACAGTTTTGTAAGCAACTACTCATCACAGATGATTAAAATTTTAATACAATCTTCTCTGAAGTTGGGAATCATTTTTAGCTCACCTGAGCTGAAAGCTCAAGTGAGCTTTTCTGATCACATTTTGTCCGGGTTCCGTCTGTCTAGCTGTCCGTCTGTCTGTAAACTTTTCACATTTTCGACTTCTTTTCAAGAACCGTGGGCCAATTTCAACCAAACTTGCAACAAAGTATCCTTGGGTAAAGGGGATTCAAGTTTTTTCAAATAAAGGGCCACATCCTCATTCAAGGGGAGATAATTGGGAATTAATGAAAATTTGGTGGCATGTTTTAAAAATCTTCTTCTCAAGGACCACTGTGCCAGGAAAGATGAAACTTATGGGGAAACATCCTCAGGTATTGAAGATTCAAGTTTGATCAAATCATGACCCCCGGGGGTAGGGTGGGGCCAAAATGACTAAAGTTTTACATAGAAATATATAAGAAATTTCTTTAAAAATCTTCTCCTCAACAACAAAAAAGCCATAATTGTTCATATAATATGGAAGCATCCTCAGGTAGTGTAGATTCAAGTGTGTTCAAATCATGACCCGCAGGAGTAGGGCGGTGCCAAAATGGCCAACCAAAGTTTTACATAGAAATGTATATGAAAATTCTTTAAAAATCTTCTCCTCAAGAATAACAAAACCATAATTGTTCATATTTATATGGAAGCATCCTCAGGTAGTGTTGATTCAATTTGTTCTAATCATGACCCCCAGGGGTAGGGCGGGGCCAAAATGGCCAACCAAAGTTTTACATAGAAATATATAGGAAAATTCTTTAAAAATCTCCTCAAGAATAGCACAGCCATGATTGTTCATATTTATATGGAAGCATCCTCAGGTAGTATAGATTCAAGTTTGATCAAATCATGGACCCCAGGGGTAGGGCGGGGCCAAAATGACCGACCAAAGTTTTACATAGAAATATATAAGAAATTTCTTTAAAAATCTTCTCCTCAAGAACAACAAAGCCATAATTGATCATTTTATATGGAAGCATCCTCAGGTAGTGTAGATTCAAGTGTGTTCAAATCATGGCCCGCAGGAGTAGGGCAGGGCCAAAATGGCCAACCAAAGTTTTACATAGAAATATATAAGAAATTTCTTTAAAAATCTTCTCCTCAAGAACAACAAAGCCATAATTGATCATATAATATGGAAGCATCCTCAGGTAGTGTAGATTCAAGTGTGTTCAAATCATGACCCCCAGGGGTAGGGCAGGGCCAAAATGGCAATCCAAAGTTTTACATAGAAATATATAAGAAATTTCTTTAAAAATCTTCTCCACAAGAACAACAAAGCCATAATTGATCATATAATATGGAAGCATCCTCAGGTAGTTTAGATTCAAGTGTGTTCAAATCATGACCCCCAGGGTAGGGCAGGGCCAAAATGGCCAACCAAAGTTTTACATAGAAATATATAGGAAAATTCTTTAAAAATCTTCTTCTCAAGAATAGCACAGCCATAATTGTTCATATTTATATGGAAGCATCCTCAGGTAGTGTAGATTCAAGTTTGTTCGAATCATGGACCCCAGGGGTAGGGCAGGGCAGGGCCACAACAAGGGTGAGGCCAAAAAGGCCGACCAAAGTTTTACATAGAAATATATAGGAAAATTCTTTAAAGATCTTCTCAAGAATAGCAAAGCCATGATTGGTCTTGGGATTACTTTTGGATATAAGCTTTTCAAGTATAAACCAATGCTTCTTTTTCCTAGCCACAGTGCTTAGGTAGGCGATGTGGCCCATGGGCCTCTTGTTTACCTTGACATTCCCTGTGATCTTGATCTAACTTTTCTGGATTTAGTGTTTAGCTCAGTTTATAAACAAAATCTTCAAGATTGATTTTTCTATGAAACCTTTTAAAAGATGCTAATTTTCAACTTTGTCAACATTTTTTGATCTTCCCTTTTGCAAGGGATATTGGGAGTAGTTCATATAAATTAAGTTATAGAACAATTTTTACACCCCAAGCAACAAGTTGTTTGAGGTAGAATGTTTTTGACCCGTCCGTCAGACTGTCAGTCAGTCCTGTTTTTTTGTCAGTGCTACTCATAAACTGCTGCACAGAATATCTTCAAACTTTGAAGATATTTAGGACACAATGTGTCGATGTGCACATTACCAGGAGATTTCGATTCCTTTTATTATACCCCCTGCTTGAAAAGCGGGAGGGTATATAGTAATCGGTATGTCTGTCTATACGTCCGTTAAGCTGTCTGTCCGTCCTGCCATTTTATACGCTTTGGGGTACTCATCTCTTATCCGCAACTCCTTTCATACCACTGAAGGAAATTTAATGAAACTTTCACAGAATCTTTATTACATATTACCATTGTGCACCTCCTATTTTACATTTTGATCTGATGTATATTTTAGATTTTCCAGAGCAAAACATGGACACTGCCATTATATTCATATGGGAGGCGGGGGTATCATTTAGTGAGCTCATTACTCACAGTACCTCTAGGTCTTTAAGGGAATTTCTGCACTTTTACACTTAGATTTTTGGCCATATATTGAATATAGAGATGAACAGTTTGTCAGCACAACTCCCCATAAACCGTTGCACACAATTTTGTCAAAGAACGAGTGCACTTATGGACCCCGGTAAAATGTGAAAAAATAAACAATCAAATTGAGCAAAACTTTTCATCTCAAATCATTAATTGATATCTAAACCATCCGATTCGACAAATTTTACCGCTGAAATCCACAAATATACAAAGAACAAAACTATACAACGTGGTAGGGGTCAGCCGACATTGGCGATTTTCTTTACTAAATCGAGAAAGGTCATTCATTTCTAAGCCTTTGTTAACTATGAGCCTATTATTGTGCAAACTTGTGCGAATGACAAAAGACGCATATTACATTTATAAAACTTGTGTGAAAGTATGAAATTTGGACACGATTAGGCTTGTACTTAAAATATTAAAAATGTATAAAAAGTACAATGTTTTTCCTTAGCAAGTGAGAGCTATTTACCTGTATGACCCATGTTGAACCCACATGTGGAATAAATTATTTAAAATACTGATAGTCACGTGAGTTCTACCCAGGTAAACATTCCTCAAAAGTGCTCACTGTAAAACATAGGCAGGTTTTGTTTCAGTAGGTCAAAGTCATGCCGCTTAGAGATGTTTGTATGTATTTGTTTTTAAGAACATGTTAGGGTAAGGAGATCTAAGCGTCGTTCATAAAGTGTCAAACATTTTGAACCTTCATGCAAGACAATGAAACAATTGAAAGCCATCTATAACACTCCTTTTTAATTTCAAATTCAATGAAACTATTATAATTGTAATTTTTCAAGAGTGCCAATTTGTTAGTTTAATCATTTTAGATACAGGCAACTACACAACTTAATTCCATATTTTTAAAAACAGGTTTGGCACAAGAAATATTATTCCGCAAACGCGTCCGACTATGATCCACCATCAGATTGTTCAAGTATCGATTTAAATATCTATTCCCTTGATTTACATAAACGAAACTAAAAGAAGGTTCGGTAAGACTTTTCTGGATTTATAGGGTATCCATAGGCCTTTCAAACTATTCAATTGTTTCAAATCAATGCTGATTTAAGTGGCGCTTAACATGTTTTTTGATTAGAAATATCCACTTATATCTAACTATTACCAATAGAGAACGATTTGGTAAAATATTCTGAAGTAAAATGGCACTTAAAAAGGGCCCATTAAAAATTGCTTAAGTGTCCTTTGCAGATTTTTAGGACATAATGTGTAGATGTGCATATGCCCAGGAAATTCTGATTCCATTATTTTTTCCGAGAATTTCTGCACCTTTACACTTAGATTTTTGGCCATATCTTGAATATAGAGATGAACAGTTTGTCAGCGCAACACCTTATAAACCACTGCACACAATTTCGTCAAACTTTGTTGATAATATTTAGGACACAATGTGTAGATGTGCATATTATCAGGAAATTCCGATTATTTTTGTCCGGGAATTTCCCCACCTTTATACTTAGATTTTTAGCTCACCTCAACGAAGTTGCGAGTAACTCAGGTGACCTATTGCGATCCGTTTTTGTCTGTCGTCGTCCGTCGTGTGTTAATATTTTGTCAATGAACATTTTCATCTTCTCCTCTGAAACCACTGAACCCAATTTCAACCAAAATTAGTATACAGCATCTATGGGTGAAGGGGAACAAAAATTTTGAATTTTACGGCCCCCGCCCCCCTGGGACCTGAGGGTTGGGGCCAAAACCACGAAAATTATTGCAATCTTTAAAAATTTTCTTCTTTACTCCTATACATCAAGCAGGCAAACTGTTAGCATAAATGTAATGAGTATTGAGTTCTCTACCAAAATTGTGAAATTCATGGCCCCGGTCAGGGGTTATGGTGTTAGGGCAGGGCTCTATTGATCATATATTGTGAAAATGCATTTATTCTTTGAAAAATCTTCTTTTCTGCTTCTGGGTATTAAATAAACTAACTAAGCACATAGTAATAATGAGCAAGAGTGCCTCTTCTAAAATTGTGAATGTTATGGCCCCAGGGTCAGTGGTTCTGGTTTAAGGGCGGGGCTCCATTGATTATGAAGTGAAAATGCATTAATTCTTTGTAGGGATGTCAATTTTACTTGGACAGCTTAGTCAAATAGTCGGATGCTTGAGTCGAACGATAGTCGAATATTCGTTTAAATTATTTTTTTGTACCACTTTCACTGTTTGTCTTTTACAGACAAGTTTACAATATTTAACCTACGCTATCACTTACTAGTACAACAGATTTCTGAATTGTAAACATGTATGTAGTCCAATAAAAACTGTACATCAATATTTGTCCCATGTATTTATTTTCAAAATTAATATATTAGCTGCACGTTTCATCTACCGGTAAATGCAGGATATCAAACGCCCGTATTTGTTCTTTCTTTACTTAACAGTATATTACATGTACACCATAATTGAAGCCAATTGTTAAATGTCCCTCAATTATCTTTGACAGGTTAACAATTAAAATTCGTCTCTTATAAAAACAAAGAGAGAGCAAGAGCTTGGGAGAAATTTAAATTATGAAATTTTGTCAAACAATCAATGATTGTATGACATTAATAGCAGAAAAAGAAAACACGGTTTAATTACTCTTATATTAAAGTACTCGACTATCGTTCGATCATACAGACTATCGACTAAAATTTCTTTAGTCGGTTATTGGTTAAAAATGTGTTTCATCAGAGTAATTTTGAATTCGAGGCAATAAACTTATAGTAAAAAGCTCTTACAAAATCGTAAATACATGTAAATCAGGGTCATTTAATATAAGAGTAATTAAACTGTGTTTTCTTTTTAGCTCACCTGAGCCGAAGGCTCAAGTGATCTTTTCTGATCACATTTTGTCCGGCGTCCATCTGTCTGTCTGTCTAGCTGTCTGTCTGTCTGTCC